CGTGATGAAGTATGCAAAACATGTGAGGTTTTGATAATTAAGTTACTCATCAAACGACTACCCTACACTTTTTTTTGTTTTATGAGGGACATATTTGACAAATTCTCAGTAGTGCATCTATGTACTTTTCAATTTTTCCAATATTAACGTTTGTAGTTTTACATTTTTGCAGTTTATCTAAGTTACTCAAAAGATGATTTTATGCCCTCTCAAAAGGTCTATTGCTTGAATGAGTAGTGTGAAATATTTATATTTGGGAAAACTGTCAAATAGGTCCTCGAACTTTCATAAAAAAGTCAATTAAGTCCTTCTATAGGAGACTTTGTCCGGTCGTCGCGATTTGGGGCGGTTCCCGGTGGAATTTTTTGATGAATTTTTTTGAGCATCTTATTCATCAAGGCTAGTTTAATCATACCAAATTTCAACTAAAAATTTAATCGGGAGCGCATTCAAATTAATTCGAGAACGCAAAAATGCGCAGTTATATTCAAGAATTAATTTGAATGTGTTCCCGTTTGATTTTTTAGCTAAAATTTGGTATGAATAAACTAGACTTGGTGAATAAGATGCTCAAAAAAATTCATCAAAAAATTCCACCGGGAACTGTCCCAAATCGCGACGGCCGGACAGAACCTCCTATAGAAGGACTTAATTGACCTTTTTATGAAAGTTCGGGGACCTATTTGACAGTTTTCCCTTTATATTTCTAACTTCAATTTTGAGTTGCAGATGCATCCAAGCTAATTTTACTTCATCTCTCCTAGCACATACGTAAGACCTAAGAGGTATATATGCACCATAATCTCTGAGTTGATGGTCATATACATGTATTGCATCAACATCCTGAGTTGCACCTCAGACTGAACTCTAAATCACTTTTTAAGGCTATAAAGATCAACCTATCTTCCAATGTTTAAAACTTGGTAAGCTTTGAACCATTATATCCGCTCAATCCCATGTAAGTCTGTCAAAGCACGTCAAATCGTCACTTCCATTCTTACAATGTAAATGTAATGCTCCATGCTATTCTGTCCAAATATGTTTGGGTTATACACCTCTAATATATACTTCATCCGTTCTTTTTTAGTTGCAACGGTCAACATTTCACACTTGCCAATACACATCTTTGACCTTAATTATATCTTAATCCCTATTAGTAAAAAATATTTAAAAATTAGATTTTGAAAATTTGTAATGAGATGAATTGAACAATATAATTTTAAAAAAATAATTTTCATAAAATAATAATATAAAATGTAGTCAAAGTAGAACATGTGAATAGTGTAAAATTCAACATGTTGCGATTAAAAAGAGACGGAGGATAGTACTACGTATAAAACATAGAATTACATTTTCTGTTCATATTTTACAATTTAGCTGTGTGAGCATCTATACCACAACTTTCAATTGTATCATATGATTGTATCTAATTTATTTGATTTCTATTTCCGTTAGGTTTTCCCGTGACTTCGTCTCTAAATTGCCTGAACATTCCCAACGTGTAGGTTATTAAAAAAAGATTCTTTAATTGTTCGTTGCAACCATTCTATTTTGGGGATGCTCACTGCGTTGCATTTTGCATCATTTAGATGTGAAAAGAATTCAAAAGACGGTTCTGATTCATTTTTAAAACATTCTAATTTATATTAGGAAAATACACAAACATGGTTAGAGAGAGTGTTTATGAAATTATTAGTTCTATACAATAACCGTTTATCTTGGAAGATCAAATTTAGCAGAGAACTTAGTATGGGAACTAACAGAAGTTATAATCCTTATTATAGAATGAAAAATAGAAAATAAAAAACTAATTTAGATATCAGGCTCATTGATAGACTAGAGACAAGTTAAAGGAACCTTTAACTACAATGAAATAAACTAAGTTTTAAAAAATGGAGAGTATTCTGACATATGGGCAACAATAAAATTCAGACACAAAGTCTTAGAAATTACGCTGAAATCCCAAATAAAAAAATAAAACTTGAACCCAAAACATCATCAAAATAGGGAGGTTAGTATAAGGATAATTGAAGTGGAATTTGAGGTCATCAAGCCTGAGATTGTGAATGACTTTATGCTCCAATCCAAGGTTATAATTATTTCACACTACTCATTCAAGCAATGAACCTTTTGAGACTTGAATATGAAATTATCGTTTTTATTAGTTCCTGATTTTCATTTTATTCGCACCGTAATTGAGACTATTATTGATGTCAACATACCGTAATTTCACAATTGAGACTATAATTAATATCAATGTACCATTTCGAATATTTTAGAACATCAAATGGAGTACGTAATTCTTTTTTTTTGTGTGTTTTGAATTATGGTCAGTAGCCATTTCGAGATTGATTCAAAGTTCTCTGAGTATTTATTTTTATTTATTTTCTTCTCAGTTAATTAAATGACTATGAAAATCACATTATTCAATTTTCAGAAAACAGAAAAGGAAAACATTAAGAAAGGAATAAGGATGTTTTCTTTTGGACTGAAATTTGCTGGTCTGGTCTGAACTGGTCTGGTCTGGTAAACGTCCGGTCTCTGTGTATTTTATAACTACGGAAGTCTGGTCTGGTCTAATCTGGTCTGTGACTGAAAACACTTCAAAAGAAAACATCCTAAGAAAAGCTAATAAATTTTTGTTTTTTAAAAACTCAAAATAAAATAAAGTAAGTTTAATACTTCCTTTTCCCGTGAATGATCTTCTAGCCTTTTACTTTCCGGTTCATTCCGAAATAATTTTCTTTCCCTTTTTTTAAAAGAATTCGTGGGTTACACTATTTCTTACATATTTTTACACGTTTATCTCTCCTCTATACAAATGTTCATCACAAAATTATCACTCTCTTAATCCATGTGCAAAATCATATTCGAAAGATAATTCACAGGGACTATTTCACTAACAATAGTTACTTTTAATATTTATTGTGTTGGCTTAAGCTTTATGACACTCACATATTGTGCTCACTTTTTAGAATAGTGTTTAAATCTAAAATTAATTTAATCATAAAAATTAATTAGTAAGAAATTCTAATGAGTGGTGCCGGGAAAAAATTCCCTAATGCTCTCTTTATTTAATATCTATTAAATGGGCTTATACTTTATGTTATTAACTTATTGTGCTTCAATTCTAAAAAAATCTCAAAAACTTATTCTATTTTTAAGATTTAATTAGTTTATGAATAATTAAAAATATATGCACCAAATGCTTTTACCCGTGCGTATGCACGGGTACTATACTAGTTCACAAAGAAATTGGTAAGTCATTTCTTATGCTTGGTTTTACTATGGAAAATCAAAAGGAAAATAAAATATGATAAAAACCTCTATTTTTACATATGTTTAGATTTCATAGAAGTAGAACGAATAAAAAAAACAAATTGATGTGGTAAAAGGGAAAAATAATTTAAATGCCCCGAACTTTGAAGGGGTGTAGGGTAAATACCCCAAACTTGTGGTGAAAGGGGAAAATACTTTGAAGGGGTGTGGGATATATATATATATATATATATATATATATATATATATATATATATATATATATAGAGGAATGATCATGTACATATGGATGTACGGGGGGCTCCGTACGGACAAAGCCATTAGAGGTCCTTCCGGGTGGAATTTTTTGATGAAATTTTTTGAGCATGTTCTGCATCAAGTCTAGTTTATCCATACCAAATTTCAGCTCAAAATGCGATCGGGAAGGCAGTCAAATAAATTCTTGAAATATATGGCGCATTCTGCGCACATATAATGTGCAGTATATTTCAAGAATTTATTTGACTGCCTTCCCGATCGAATTTTGAGCTGAAATTTGGTATGGATAAACTAGACTTGATGAAGAATATGCTCAAAAAATTTCATCAAAAAATTCGAACGGGAAGGGCCTCAGATGGCTTTGTCCGTACGGAGCTTCCTGTACATATGGATGTACAGGAACAGCCCTCTATATATATATATATATATATATATATATATATATATATATATATATATATATATATATATATATATATATATATATATATATATATATTAGTGCCATGAATACATGTTATTTCTTTCAAAAATATAATTTTATGGTGTTAAATACATAATACATAATTTAAAATATTTTAAGTGTTTATGAGGATGCAATTAACGTTCTAAGCATTCACTTTTAAATAAGTAATACTATCTATTACCTTTGGGCTATGTAGTTGCACACCTTTTAATTTGATATTTGCCAATACAAGACTTTCCCCATTGACATACTATTATATTTTATTGACTATTAGTAAAAATAAAAAAAAAAACATATTTTAATTTTTTTATGTCAGACAAATATTATAATATTTTATATAGAACAATTATTTAGTACATGTGTAAATGCAGTGAAGTTAAAGTTGACTGTGAATTTGTAAAAAAACAGAATATATAAGTAGTGTAAAACTTAAAGTGGTTCAACTATTAAATTACGGAAAAAGTATGATTCTTAATTGGTGTTGAGGTCACTTATAATGTACTCATTATCATTACTTTAATAGCTAAAATACTACGAGTTTTATTATATCTACATACTTTACTTTGACTTTGACACTATTCACACACTCTACTTTGACTACATTTTATTTATTAATGTCCTAAATACTTCTTGTATATAAGATGCTATAAAATTTGTCCGAGAATAAAATATAAAATATATCATATGCTGATATGCATAACTTTTACTAATAGTCAATTAGATATTTTAATGTTTAAAGTCTTGTTGACAAATATCAAACCAAAAGTGTTGCATCTACATAGATCAAAGGTAATATTATTTATTTCACAAATGGAAGCTTAAAATGTTAACTGTGTCTCCAAACATGCTTAGAGTATTTTATATTATGTACTTGGCACTCTAAATTTACATTTGTGAAAGACAAACATAAACTCATTGTGCTAACATAACAGTTTATATATTTTCAGGGTGTATATATTAGCAGGGCCGGCCAAGGCCAGGTATACCCAGCCTGGCCGCACAGGGCCCAAAAACATGGAGGGCCCTAAAGAAAATATTTACTAGTAGTACTAGTCATATGGCAGCCCTGGTCCAAAGATTTGAAAGGAACAAAACGTGAGAAAGAAAACAACGGAAGACAAAGAAAAAGCGACTCTCGAATCTGGAACGACTCGAAGAGTGGAACGAGTGCCGACGAGTCGGCGACCGCCACCATCCCGCTCCAGCCCACTACCACGCGCCCGGCCTCCAAGACCACAACTGCACCCTAGTCGGCTAGTCCTCCAAGACCTCCAAGACGCTCTACCTCGCTAGTCGGCTAGTCGCTAGGCCACACACCGGCACAACGCTGTAACCGGTACGCACTTCGCAGCTAAGCACATATGAATGTTAATGTATGATTTTCTGATTTCCTTGAATGGAAAATAACAGAAATTGATTTCGTTTGTTTCCTACGAATTGCTTTGGAGTTTGGGCCCTTGTTGTTGTTTGTATATTAGTTTATTTATTTATTTATTTATTGCGGATAGTGCTTAAGTAATTGAATTGAATCAATTGATAATTAGTGTATTGTACAATTAAGATTTAATAAATGATATAATTATGTTATTAGGTAACTCCGTAACTACAAAGTACTAATTTTAGATTTAAAAATTATAATTATTTCATGATTTTACCAAATATTTAAATTGATTTTTAAATTAACTTTTTTAAACATGTACATGATTAGGTGTTTTTTTTGGGAAAAAATAGGTGAAAATTTTGATAATTGGTATTTGATAATAATTATGTTTCCAAAGAAATACCCATCTTGTCATGGATTGGCATTGATATCAATATATTTTGAAACACTCCAATAGACTGACATTGCAAGTTTGATTTTGCATCTAAATCCGTAAGAAAAATGTCTTTTTCTAAATGAAAGGTATTTTATTAATCACCGTTTATTATTATTGTTATGTTCATTAGTAACTTGTATTTTAACACAAATTACTTCTGCTGAAACTTGGATTAAAAGGCCCAACTTTTTGTTGTTGCACAGGGTCCCCATATTCTCGGGGCCGGTCCTGTATATTAGATATGCAAGTTAGGGGTACATACTACATAGATCAAAGGTTAAATTAGTTATTTCACAAATGGAAGTTTAAAATGTTAACTGCGTCTCCAAAAATGCTTAGAGTATATTATACCCGTATTATGTACTTAGCAATGTAAATTTACATTTGTGAAAGAAAAAACATTTAGTCAATGGTAAATGTTTATAACTTACATATATAACTTTTTATATATTTTCGGGGTATATTTATTAGATATGCAAGTTTGGGGTACTTATATGACACTCATTCAAAGTTTGGAATATTTAAATTATTTTTCCATTTTTAGAAAATGAATTAGGAATATTTATTCTGAACCAGACAACCAGTGTTTTATTTTCTTTAACAATTTCTTTCCTTACAATTTTTTTCCCATCATTTCCTCCATGTTTTCTGTCCGTACCATTTTTCAAGTTTCAAATAGACCCAAATGGTCTGTTGCTTTTCAGACTGTCCTTTTTTATTGGCCTTTCTAATTGTTTGATGATAAATGTTTCGGAATATTTCTTCAAACTGCAGGATAGTTCTGAAGAGATGGATGTGAAAGTAAAGAAATATCTCAGAGGAGAACCAACAAAATATGAGGTTCTATTATGATGTTTATGTGTTAATTAGTCTACATAATAGTTGTCCATTATGTGCTTGAGTTGAGCTATATATTTGATTATTTTCAGGTCTTAAAAGATAAGAAGTTGAAGGGTCAGCTTGCTGCAAGAGAAGAGTTGTATGGAAGATCTGCAAAAGCTGCTGCAAGTGCTGAAAAGGTTTCTATTTTACTCAAGTTACTGCGCGAAGTACCCATAATAGTTACTAACTATATAACATATAATATGTATTATGTACTGATGATTCAATGTCATATAACCATTCAGTGGCTAATGCCAAGTGATGGGGGGTTTCTCGAAACCGAAGGGATAGAGAAGTCTTGGAGAATTAAGCAGGAGGCAATTGGCCGTGAAGTAGACATTTCAAGTGCAAGAAATCAATATGATATTGTCTTACCAGGTTAGGACTGCAGGGGCCATCTTATGATTATTTAATTTTGATGTATATTTTTTAAAAGAGTCTAATTTATGAGCTCATGATGCCTGTTGTTTGTATCATCTAAAATCATTTGCATTTCAGTCATTAGATCATTAAAATCACTTTGTTATTAACTTGCTCTTCTCAATTGGATACATCTGACAAAAGAATACTCCGTATTAAATTGGATCTAACTTATCTTAAAAACTAACCAAAGTAACAGATGTGAACCAACTAGTTGCATTTTTCATGATATATTTAACTTACCTCTTGAAATGAAATTGTATGATGGAGTAGATTTAACTAACCACAAAAACTTACTGAGATTTGACTCATGCTTTATATATTAGTCTCAATTGATGAAGAATTATTGGGAATTTATTATAAGACTTACAAGCAGTAAAATGAAAATTGAGTACTTCAACTTAATTAATTAAAGTCTAAATCTGATAATTATAGAATATCTGGCTATATAATTATATTTATATACTTCACTAGGATCACCAATTAGGTTTTTTGTCTAATGAGGGTGATGTTATGAACATGCGTAGGATATTCTTAATTTCTTACCTGGTTTAGAGATATTAATTTTTACAATTATTACTCTCCTATAATTAATTAGTACTATTAGTAATGGTGTATTATTATTATTATTATTACTAGCAGTACTATTTAGACTTTTAGTATTAGCAATAATAATACTATGTATGAAGTATTTATAATTTTCTTATTGTTATTTCCCTATTCACTGATAGTCATCTTCTTATTAGCATTTAGTTTGATGTTTCCTGTTATGATTAAAATGCCAATGTATGGATCCTCCATATAGAGTAATGAACAATGTTTTGGAGAATTAGTTGTTTTGTGTCTTGATGCCGTTGACGGGTGTGAATTAATCCCACATTCCCAACTTAAGTACAGATCTGAAATACTTTTTTTAGGTTTGTCTTCAATTCCTAGATCTTGCATTAGCATACATGGCTTAAATACAGTGTAGATTTATATGTTTGCATGCATAATTTAAACATTACTCGTGTTTTTAAATTTCTACTCACAAGAGTTGTTTATACTCTGGATTTCACACCTAGTGGTCGCCACATGGCTTTAGCTGGGAGGAAGGGACACCTTGCTATAGTGGACATGAAAACATTGAATCTTTTTAGAGAATTTCAGGTAATATTGAGGGTCGTGAAATCATTTGTTTGTTTTAAATAAATTATTAGTAGCTATTTTGTGTTTACAGGTTAGAGAAACAGTGCGTGATGTAGTATTCTTGCACAATGAACTGTTTTTTGCTGCTGCTCAAAAGAAGTAAGATACTTGTTTTCTTCCAAATGATGCTTACATTCAATATCATCTACTATTCTTGCACATTGCCTTAAGGTTGGCATATCACATCATAATCTCATGTAACTTGAATTCTAGTTTCACTTCATCGACTATTTTAAAGAACGTGAAATCTATATTGCCTTAATTTTGAAGAACCATTTTCTATTGGCATCCGTGAACAAATATGGTCAGCTGCATTATCAGGACACCACCACAGGGTTGATGGTTGGAAACTACCGAACCGACCTTGGCCGGACTGATGTAATGAAAGCTAACCCTTTCAGTAGTGATATAACTGTCGTGCATTCAGGCAGAACAGTCAGCATGTGGACTTAAGGAAGTTTGAGGTCATCCAAACGCTCCACGGACATGCCAAGACCTTAGATTTCAGCCAAAAGGGTTTACTCGCTTGCGCAAGCGGATCTGTCATACAGATACATGGCGACCTCTCCGGGTCCCATAAAAACCTGTCCCGTTACATGACACATTCTATGGCCAAAGGATACCAAACGCAGAAGGTGGTCTTTAGACCGTACGGAGATGTTTTGGCAATTGGACATTCTGCAGGTTGGTCTTCGATTTTGATTCCCGGGTCAGGCGAGCCCAATTTCGAAGATAGGTATTGTCCATTTTGATTTTCTTAACATTTTGTTTGCTCATACGGAATTTCTTAACATATTATTATATTAATATGAATTATGTCATTGATCGAAAATAAATGTTAATTATTTCATTAAGGGAAAAACAATCATTTTTCTCCTTGTACTATCACGAAATGTCAATTAGGTCCTCGTATTTATAAAAAATCAATCAAATTCTCGAACTTTGAAAAAATATTCAATTGAGTTAATTAGCAAGTTATCTGTCACGTCAGCATGTCACCCTATGATGTGGCGCACACGTGGCAGTCCATGTGTGTGTCGCATCATCAGATCATGACTAGTCGGGCTTCCACATGTGCACCACGGTAGCAAAGTCCCTGGTGACTGGGCTGCCACGTTTGTAGTACATCAGCAGGTGACTTGTTGACGTGGCAGATGACCTGCTAATGGTCTGAATTGAACATTTTTAAAAGTTCGCGGATTTGATTGATTTTTTTAAAGTATGATGACTTAATTTGACGTTTTCGTGATAATACAAAGATAGAAAAAATTGATACTTTTTCCTTTCATTAATTTTTGCGAGTTTAAGTAGGGTTAGCTACACGCCGACACTATCTACTTCATGGCCGGCCCAATGGACGGGCAAACATAATTGTTAATGGATGTGCATTTTTGTCTTTTCATACGGGGTTATGGTGCAAAAACAAATTTTAAAAAACAGGGTGCAAAGTCCAATTTGAACAATAAAATGAGGTGTAAACTCAAGTTATCCCTAAGTTAAGAGCATTGAACCTTCTCCTTAAACCATGAGACAAAGACTCGATAGTGTTCTATTTCACAACCATCAAAGTTTGATTGCAACTCCAACATGTGCTGCCTATTTTCATTTATGACAAACAATAAGATATTTGGTTTTCAACACCTTAAACATAACTAAGAAAATTCAACTGAATGCTTACAGTATGTAAGGTAAAACTTCAGGCGTATTAAACAGAACGGTTCGATGTGCTTGCTCGAGAAGAGAACAGTCCACTATTTTAGTCTCCCACGTCTTAGGGGCCTTTCAATTGGGTCGGTATTGTCACAATCCATAGGTAATCCAATGGACTGGTGATTTGCAAGATATTTAGCGCAAAACTCAAGCACTTCTTCAGTTGCATAACATTCCGCCATACATCCCTCGGGATGGTAATGATTGCGGAAAAAATTCACTTGAAAGTGCCAACCTAAGATTCCTAGGATCTTCACTAAAATCAGGCCATATTTTATCAATGCATTGCCAAGCTTGAGCATCGGCAGGATGACACAATTTCCCATCTCTAATGCGATGATTTGCATGCCATGTCAAGTGCTCAGCAGTTTGGGGTGATTGAAACATACGCTTGAATCGAGGAATTGAAGGAAAATATCACTAACACTTTCTCAGGAATTCTATTGTTAGCTATTATGACTCCATTTTTTCCACCCGCTCACCACATTTGGACATATTTCAAGGTCACTATGTTGCTTATGAAAAAGGATGCAGTCATTACGACAATCATGTATTTTTTGATAATCCAATCCTAAGACCTTCATTATTTTCTTAGCTTCATACATCGACTTTGGAATAGTCAGCAGGTAATATGTTCGAAAGAGCTTCTAATAAAGCTGTGAACCCATGACTAGACCATTCATATTTCCCTTTAATATTGTAGAACAACATTAACCCCGATAGCCTAGTATAATTTGACCCTTGGTACAATGGCTTTTCTGCATCTTCAACTACTTCCTTAACATCATTTGGGTTACCCTCTAGTTGTTCATAGATATCACCTAACATCTCGTCAACTTTATTTTGATCATGAAATGTTGACTGTGATGGAGTAAAGTTAGGGGGGTTTTCAGTCTCTCCATGCCTACTCCAAATAAGGTAAGTTTTCAAGAAACCTACTTTCAACAAATGCACTTTAAATTTTTCAAGAGTACCAAATTCCATGTTGCAACAATCTCTACACGGACAACAGAATGATCTACGATTTTCTGAGTTAAAAATAACAAATTGTATGAACTCATCAACTCCATTTGTGTATGCTTCACATTGTTTGTTACCTTCCTTTATACATGACCTATTCATCTCTAGATTCCTGATAATTATTATATGTCAACAACAAATTTATACTGATTCAAAGTACATAAGCATGCACTAACAATTCAAAAATAACACTTTAATTAGAAAAATTTGAGTGCTCCAGTCATCATAAATTCACATATAATATTGCAGTCATTACAATTTGTCATTGTTAACAGTGTACTAATCAAGCCATGTTAAGAAATTATTAGTAAGTCAAACAAGGAGCATTAATCATCTAGTCATCACAAACAATGAAAACTCACCAAGCAAACTTATAAAACATCTGCAATGTTCATATCAAGCTTAATTTTTTTTTATTAAAAGCACAAATTATGATAAAATCAATAATAACTATAAGCGGAATGTAGCTTTTGAGTTCAATTGCAGCGACAGAAGGAACATACCAAAAATTGTTTCATAAAAACATATGATACTTAATTGGGACAATCTGCATGTTGGCATCATTTATCCAAGACTTATCCATTTGAATACTAATACCTAGTTTAAAGTATCAACAAAACCTCAAAATAGTACGGAGTATACATAATAAACAAAACATGAAAATTAGCTCATAAATATTTTAATTTGGAGTTCTACGTTTCAGTTTAATGATATAGGAACTAAACATATATAAATCCTCAAAAACTGAAGCTCACAGTTGATACAAGAAAAGTAGTACCAACTTTGTAGTAATTTTGACTCTCAAACTATGCAAACGTAGATATATGCCCAGAATCTCAATAAATAGATTGTTTTAATTAAGCTTTAAGTTATATTAAGGATGTAATAAAACATATCAACGAAGTGGCTGTTATTCCGATTTTCAAGAGAGACTGCACTTTACAATTAAAGATAAAAAAGTAATGTGGTTGTTGTTGTGACTCAAGATATAAAGGGTACTCTCATTCACATATAAGGATCTATATATACAAGAGGGGATCTAGGGTCACAAATGAGATGGGCCAATACATATGGGCCAAGGGGTTAATGGACATCCATAATCACATAACACCCCCCCTTGGATGTACATTACTAAACAAATACATTACATATAAAAATATACATTACTCTCTTTATACACTTTGGTAATGCTGCCTCGATAAAAACCTTGTTGAGGAAATTAAAACCCAGTGGGAAAAAACCTTGGACAAGGGCAAAGGAGTGCAACGCGAATATACTCCCCCTGTTGATTGCATCACTTCGGGTCTTCTTGTTGAATCCAATCCAATCCAATGCAATCCAATCTGGTTGCTAACTTCTCGAATGAAATATCATACTCCCTCCGTCCCTAATAAAACTTCCAAATAGGTTTGGCACACAATTTAAGATAGTGGGTATTGTGTGGTGGAGAGTTGTGCAGATGAGAGAAAATGTGTAAGAATTGTTTTGAACCACAAATTCGGGCCAAAAAGGGAAAGTGGAAGTTTTAATTGGGACAGACGAAAAAGGAAAGTTGGAAGTTTATTTAGGGACAGAGGGAGACTATGTAAAACGGTGTGTTGTAAAACCCTTTTTGTAAAACGTTAATCACCTTGTTGGAAAAACCCTACGGGGAAAAATCAATCAAGGAAAATAGTACATAATATATGTAAAACGATGTGTTGTATTGATCGTCTCATTAAAAACCTTTAACTAAGAATTGTGATCTTCAAGTTCAATTATTAACTCAAGGGCAATACCGGTATAAGGCGTATTGCTCTATACAGAAATGAATAGAAGCTTAGAGTTTCCTTCGAAATATGTCGTGTAAAGCTGACATTTACTTGGAATTGCGACTATGTAGCACACATTTCCCATGGTAGAGAAGAATACTTGAACAGAAGAATCAATGATCACACATCTACTCAAGACCTAAAGAGACAAATGAGTGTACATATAGTTTTTACTTTCTAGAGCATTGAACACAGCTTACAAAAAACATCAATCAATGATCACGCATCTACTCAAAACCTATGTAACCCATGCAAAAAAATATAGCAGAGTTATATTGGTTGTTGAATTTGAATATCATCATATAACTCTTTATATTGGAGATGGTACCTTCAATAAAGATTATTGTTTTTGCTTGTTTGATTTCACTTTTCTGGTAGATTGCCACCCTTTAGTAGTTTTACAGGAGGGACTTATAACGTTGTCAATCATATCATTGAAACCTGCACTTTTTTAAATTGACTTATAACGTATTAAATGATCTCAATTAGAAGTCAAATATCGGTTGCAAGGTTAAAGTTAGTTTTCTGACTGTATTAACTATTTTTTCATATAATTTTTTCTTTATTTAATTAATAAAATATATTTTAAATATTTTTTCCATAAATCAGCAGAACCAGTCAATCCAAGCACTTCAGCCAGCACTTCATAAATTTCAGCAGAATCAACCAATACAACAATTTAGATAATACCAAACGGGCTCGAAGTTTGTTTTTTTATTTATTTATATAAAAGTCATATAATAGATAGATTTATACATTTGATGATAGTTTAGGATAAAATAAAGTAATAATCCTAGACAATATCATCATTGAGTGTATGAAGCCTTTCGCAATAATGGAAAGTTTAATGTGGAATTGAAATGACGATGTGTTATTCGGTCCTTTGCCAAATGGGGAGCTACCAAATTGAGTTCTCCATAACATTGAAACCAATTTTAGATCAAACTGTGATGTTAATATCTTTATTTGGTCTTCCATTCTCTTTAGATATCATGGAGCAGCACCAACACTGGCAAATATTTTTCTATAAAATATAAAAGAGTAATTTATCTTATTTTGAAAAAGGCTTGAATTGTATAAGAATTTCAATAATTGAAGTATAGCGGGGACCTAGAAAAAATTGCTAATTTGTTTTGGTGGAACCTTCTTAATTATAAAAAAAAATTAT